CGCTGTGGCTTCATATACTAGCATAAACCGATCAGTCTGTTTTAAAACCTTTACAAAGCTTATTTAAGCACATCTAATAACTCGGGCTTACGTGAAGATCCAGAAAGCTTAACAAGCCTCTGTGTGTTTTCTGTTTTCCGCTTCTTTAATAGAATTGTACTAGTTCTACCATATAACACTGTTAGTGGAATTAAACATTTTTTAATTAAATCAAAACGTGTTACGGTTGCTGCAACCGAAACATCAGGGGGCCTACCACCATCTCTTAAATCAGTATTTATATAATCTTACATTCAAATTTCTTACTATGACATTTAAAAGATAAGCTTATTTTAATATTGTTTCGATTTGCAGTTTTGTGACGTCACCGCAAATCATTTACTCAAAGCGTACCACGACGTGTCTTTTGACAGTTAGCAATATTGTTTTTATGTCAAATTTAGCAATCATAAAAAAGTTGCTTTTGTACGCTGGAAGTAAGATTGTTTTCATATTTATAGAAAATAGGTATTTTAACTCAAAGAAGAAAGTTTTAATTTTCGTGAATAAATGTCGTTAAATAGACTAACTGATATATTTCGTGTCTGAAGCCGTAAAAGTATTTTATTTAAATTGAACTACGTGTATGTAAGAAGATCTAAACCCTGGAATAGAATAGGAACTAGAATTAGAAATACGAAAAATTCTATTGATAAGAGGAAATAGTGAAAACTATTGTACGTAGGTATGTACATATACAGCATAAAACAACCTATCATATTATTATGTAGCTACAAATCATTATCTGTAAGCTTAATATTACGATGGTATTCGACATTGCAGACCTCGATTTCGTGGCATTTACATAAATCAGTAAGTTCGAACAGTTGCAATTATTGGCAATTACCCGAAAATGCTTCGATTTATCGTGTGACATATCTGATGATATCGAAGTGATCTATCGTGTGGAGAAAGTCCTTACCGTACAGCTGCAATTTTAGCTGTAAGATATTTATTATCTGTGAATGTTCATTTAATATGCAGCTTACACTGTGTATCATCTTTAAACAAAATCATGTAGTAAATAAAAAACCTCCAACCTTATGACACCTTTTTATATGTTATCTTAGTGAAAAATAGAGGGCATATTTTAACCCGGTATATATGTCGCATTCCCACGAGAGAAAACTCATCAAGCTTACGTCACAATTCACTAGGTGCTGTAAATTTTAATTGCAAGCGTGACATACCTAATAATATAACGAATACTCTTGACTGAATTAAAAATAATGCATATATTACTTAAAGGAGTATTCACTATGGCAAAAAAAAAAAAAGTGTATATTTTTAAAATATTAAATGTGTTTGTGGCCAATCGAAGTTCGTTCTAATTTTAAAATAGACTACAAAGGTCCTAATAATTTATTTACGTTGTACGTTGTAGGACGATCGATAATAATCATTACGCCAAGTTAACTACCAAATAATGCCACCAATCTTGCTTCAGGACTATGGAGAATGTGTAATTTTATTGAAGTAGTAGCATTGATTAAATTGCGTTAAATATAACACACACATTACTATCAACCCTAATAGCATCGATATTTGTTTTTATTGCGGATTACATACACTTTTTACAATAAAAACTAAAGAAATAGGTACTATACTGGCGTTAGAGGATAATTGAAACAAACGCAAGTATTATTTCCTGTTATTTTTGTTAATTATAAACAGTACTTGCTACTTAGGTGATTTTGCTCATTAATGTCTTCTCAGACGTGTGTTAACCTAGTGAAATCGAAACTTGGCCACTCACAGTCGTAGCTTTTCCCCGTACGCGAACGTCGATGTTGGTAAACAGCTTTCCATAATTTCAACTCACAAATTATCGCATACAAGTTTTTACCTACAACTTTTCCCACATTGCAGTTAAGCATGACAGTTATACCAGACATTATATCTGTCGAAACTTGAAAGTGAAAATCAGTATACAACTTACGCTTTCGTGGTTTACGTAATAAATTAAATTCTGATTTTTATTTTAATTACAGAAGGTAAATAACTATTAAGGAATGATGTTGAAAAATTTACGGAATGAGACAATATGCGCTCAATTCCTAAATAAATCGATTCCGCGCCCGCATCCCAAAATTCTTCTAATGGACGAAGTTTATTGCCTACGGCTACATTAGGGGGACATTCGTGATCAGTAGGGTAGCTCAGATCGGTAAAATACACTTACAGTTATATGTATTTTAGTAGATCATCCAATAGAATACCTACCCATAAATTCTAATAGAACACTCGCTTATCCGCTGCGTTCCAAATGCGTAGTTATTCTTAAATAATGTCATTAATTTATGAATTAATAAAACGGTATCTCTTACAATGCAATCTCAACCTTAAAATGGCACTTAATTGTTCCTTAAAGCATGGAATGGCAACAATAACTGGGTCATAACGTGCCAATAATTACCTATGTGTTACTTACCTAGTCCCTTAGCGGTTCTGCGTCGCAACTTTTAATGTCCATAGATTATAAATCAAACACACAAATGGCACAGACTGTATGCGTTTTCGATGAGTTATTCTAATGAAAGAATGATAATTTGAAAATGGAATAATACAAGCGGCGTGTTATCGATTGAGCGGCGCGCGGCCGCGCGGTCTATGACGGAATGAAAGCCGGTAGGGTGCGCGCGTTTTCCATCATTTCCCGCCTTCTCCGACGGGGGGTTGAAGGAAAATATGCGCTGAACACTACGTACGACTCGCTTTATGAAATTCTCTCGGGAGTGGTAGTGTTTATGGAGTTCTATAAAGGAGTAGAGCTTCCTATAGGTTATTGAAGCTTAGGTACCTATTACGTATTAAGTTATAATTCATCTAAATATTCTAAACTTCATTATATTTTTAATAACACCATAAATAAATGGTACAAATGCTAAGCAAATCTGTACATTTAATTGATAGAGGTACTATACTAGATAGTGTTATAAAAAATAATTACATATTTAAATTCCTCTAATCTATATACCTTTGTCTGCCTTTGAAATTGTCTCCTAATGTAATTTATAATATCCTTTTTTTAAGTATGTTTGTATCCAATTAATTTAACTGGCTATTGCCGTTTTAATTGTTGTATAATAAATAAATTCACAAAACTAATTATAATTAAATAATTATAATTTTTCTGAAACATGTACTCCGTCTGGAAACCTGGATATAAAATAGGTGGTAGGAAGATAGAAACTCCATCCGGGTCACGAACCATCGTCCATAGATGAAAAAGCCTTGAAGCATAATCGCGTTTTGGTTTCAGTCTGTGGATTTCCAAATATCCAAACCATCAAGTGAACCCAAAGCTTGCCTGTCCTCTCTTATAAAAAAAAATAAAGGACATATTAATCACTAATGTTAGATAGCGCAAGTAATTATAAACTTCTTTAGGCACGTATCTCACGGGAGACACTTAGCAGTCCCTCATAGACATTTTCCACTTAATTACCCCTCCAAATGAAATTTACTCTGATGAGAACTAACACCTTCCCCTTAAAAAGAACGCAAGTACTTTGAGGTACTTTGTATAAATTAAAAGGGCGTGCTTACCGCAGTCTAGGGTTGTCTGTCGTGAAAACACTCGACGGTGACGAGTTGAGGGTGGATCCTGGTTACGTTTGTATTCATAAAAATTATTTTCTATGAATTCCTTTACATAAACTTGCAAGATTAAGATTCTTACTCATATACTTTTTACCGTTTTACAGAAACTACTTAAAGTTTTACGTTATCTCACATAAATCTAATATGTTATTTAACTTATTCGAGCTTATTTCGAGCAAGAAAAAATTAAATTAATTAAAATTTTTAGAAACATTAATATAGTTTTGTGTAGTATACCAACACCTTTTTATCGAATTTTACGATTTAAGACAGGAAATAAAATGAAACTAACGTATTTCATATGACAAACTATACTTTTGTTTATATTATATTTTGTGTACGAAAATCAATGGTTAGCCATAACCCACCCCAACTCTGAAGGGTGCGACCCTGTTACTGCGGTTATACGCTTTCAAGGCTGCGATAATGTCTATTTGAAATTGCTTTGACGGAAATTATACTCTTAGTAGCTCGAGTAATGAAATCGTTGTTGGAAGATAGAAAATCAAAAACTGTTCATCTCCAACGTTCTTATAGGGAAATAACATGAAAATTTTTGGCTACAAGTAATAAATAGACTTAAGAAAAATTATTATCAGGTTTGTAAAAAGGCATATAAAAATTTTGTCTTTTAGCAACTGCTACTGTAACTCATGTATATTGGTAAAAATAGTAATCATGCAGAAACAGGACAGGAAAATAATTTTGATGACCGTCTTTGTTCAGGAAGACTGGCGTTCTTGCTTGCATAATTCACGTTTTTAATTTTTATGAGTAGGTATAGTATTTCCGACTGTCACTTTTAGAGAAGCCAATTATTGTACAGTAGTTCTCAGACTACAGTCAGTCCTTATAATAATATATAAATGTAATGTATCCTAGATTTATTATCTATATACCTTATTTAGCTTAGTTATCTTGGGACGTAATACAAAAGCAAGACAAAATAATACATTTTCCCGTTCCATATTACGTTTTCTTTTACGTATGTATATAAATAAATAAATTTATAAAATATAGAGTTTCTAATATTATCTAATGGTTCTATGTTTATTATCTTCTTAGATATTTTGCATTAGTTATTAACCTACGGTGGTTAATAACTAATACAATATATTTATATGAAATATTTCATCATAAAATGTACAATTTCGCATTTAGAAGGAATATGTATCAGCTGTCAACGCTTAATATGAAATGTCATATGTCGGCTGTCAATATTATTTATTCAAATGCATTATGTCAAATTTAAATTTAAACTCTTAACGGAAACAATTTCCAGACGCATCCGTATCGCAGTAATTTGTATGTAAAAAAAATTGTTTTAGTTCGATTTATATGATAAAACTACTTAAAAGATGGACAACTCGGCTGATGTAGATAGAGAAGTTAAAGAACTTGAAACCAAGATAATAAACCACGAAGCCTACGGAAAGCCGTAAGTCCAGCATGCAATCATTGAAAAATTGAACAAATGTAACTTTTGTTTAGTATTTACTGCATAACCTATCTTAATTTTAGTTATAAATGGTCACCGAGAGATTTTGAATTGGGCACACCGCTTGGTCAGGGTAAATTCGGACACGTACACGCCGCAAAAGAAAAGAGAACTGGACTTATAGTAGCTATAAAGACATTGTTCAAGTCACAAATTACCCATTCTAGATGTGAACGTCAAGTCTTGAGGGAGATTGAAATCCAATCTCATCTAAAGTAAGTTAACATTTAACCTTTACTATTTCTTAAAAAAATTAATACACAAAATGTAGAACAACATCTACAGTTCATCCATAATATGGTCCAAGTTCTAAATCATTATAGAATGCTGCAACTTTTCTTGCTTTCATTTACTTTTGTCAACACACAGACTTATCATTGTCGAACCTCTGCCTTAGCATTTGTTTTCATGTCAGTTTGTGCATGTTGCAAGCCTATTCATATGCTTACCAGATTCCTGCCATGGTCTTTCCAAATTACAATACAATATTTATTAAAAGGAATAAACATAACATAATTTTGTATGTATTCAGACATCCAAACATCCTGAGACTCCTGACGTGGTTTCACGACGAAAGAAGAATATACCTTGTTATTGAATATGCTTCTGGAGGAGAACTCTATAGACACTTGACAAATTCACCAAAAGGACGCTTCCCTGAGTATAAAGCCGCCCGCTACATTTACCAGGTGTGATATTTTGGTGTAGTTATTACCATTGATCAATAATAGGAACTGATATTTTGTCTACAGTATCCTGATAGTAATAATTTTGTGAACAATTGTGTATAGCCTTAAAAATATTTATTTTGAATGATGTGACCATTTACCTGTGACATTAGGTAAACATATTTTAACATACAACAATTTAATTAGTTCACGTGACTAGTACTGTACTAGTACTTTATCTAGTCACTAAATGTGGAGTTATTTTTTAGCTATTACATTGGCTAGATAAATTTATTATCTTTATTAATTATATTTAACATTTAGTTATAATTTTATTATTAATTATATGTAATATAATGATAATATTCCACAAGCCTAGCCACCTATCCCTTAGCTTTATACATATTATCTGCATTGCAGGTTGCTGATGCAGTTGACTACTGCCACCGTCATCATGTAATCCACAGGGATATAAAACCAGAAAATATTCTAGTATCATATAGAGGTGACCTTAAATTAGCTGACTTTGGCTGGTCAGTCCATGCCCCATCAGAAAAGTATGTATTCTGTTTTAAAATGTAACTTTAAGTTTGTTATAGTATTTATTAATAATCAAACCTTATTGTAGGAGAAAAACAATGTGTGGGACTCTTGATTATTTGCCTCCAGAAATGATAAAACGCGAAGTATATGACGTATCAGTTGACCACTGGTGTATCGGTGTCTTGCTGTATGAGTTCCTTGTGGGGAAACCGCCATTTGAAAGTAACGAGCAAGATCAGACATATGCAAAGATATTGGCAGTGGCCTTGAAATTTCCCCCACATGTAAAGGATGGAGCTCGGGATCTTATATCTAAAGTGAGTTTTAAAGAAGATATAACCTTAATTGTGAACTTCAACTGTGTACTAACACTTTTGGATTGACCAAATGAAAAAAAATTAGTCTATGAATAAGTTAAAATTTTATATTAGAACATTTGCATAGACCAAATGTGGACTGTGCTATAATTTAAATAAAAAAATGTTGTTGGCTTAAATGGGTCATATTTGCAAATCCATCTGGGTCACAAACTGTGGTCTACAGATGAAAATCTGTAAGTAAAATCTTAGTTTTAATTTCAGTCATTAGGTTTTTAAAAAGTCAGCTGTCATGTTTAGGTGTAATATGGCTCAGATGAATTCGCTTTTCATCAAACTAACCCCACCTTGTTTCTCCGTCATAAAAAGACAAATACTTGAAGTTTTTTAATTAATATGTAAGTGAATAAATACTTTTGTATTTTGTTTTCAGCTTTTACGACAGTCGAGTCAAGAAAGATTGTCGCTGGAAGGTGTAAAAAATCACTATTGGATGCAACAGTTTGTCAAAATTATAGATTAGGAGCTTGTTTTGTTAATTATATTAATTGTTCTAATGTTAACATAAGTTATTTAATGTTCTTTAATATTGACATAAGTAATATTAGTTTGACTTGAATAGAGAATAAAATTTACAATCAATAAGATATTTTAGTAAAAACTCTACTTTTTAATCAATAAAATGTGGTCACAATTTTACCTGCTTATGAATGTGAGGAACTGCATATGCTATAGCTATGCTATTAGGTATTAGAGCGTATTCATGTCTCTCTAGTTCTAATTATTCTTTCGTTTTAACAATATTCATCAAATGATTAGTATTTATTAAATATCATAAAAATATATTTCAAATCTTAAATATATTATAAGCTGTATTCGAATTTAGTGATCCACTTTAGGCCATCATTTGTGCTTCCAGCTGGTTTATACTCCAAGCCAATCCAATCATTGTAGCCATTGCTCTCTAGGCTTTTAAGTATATACTTGTAATTTACCTCCCCTGCTGTGTCTGGTTCATTACGATTTGGCACTTGTGCAATCTGTAAATTGCATTAATTTTAAATGAACTTTGCAGAATAATTTATTAACACATAAAATAAGCAGGTGAATCAAGGGGTAGTTTACTCGAGTATGAGAGAGTTAATTGATATTTTAGTATATAAAATCAATTGTATTAATAATCCTTATCAACCTTCTCCAGTAGCAGAAACTTTGTTCTGCTATTGCTATATTAATCTATCCAGGGCTTGCACTTATGCCTTTAATGCTTTTTACTACGTCAGTATTATTGTATCTTAATTCAAGCACTATCTTATATTTTCCTCTATATCAATCTAAAAAAATCTTACCTGTACATGGCCCACATGTGGCATGAGATTCTTTATATTGTAGGATAGATCTCCACAAATATGTTGCAAATGGAATATATCTAACTGTAATTTTAAATTTTCACTGCCTATCCTCTTGATGATATCAGTAGCTGTTGAAAATAGATCATTTAGTGTAATTTCCAATAACTATTAAGGTGTGTAAGATATTCGTAACATTATGTTTATGAACAACAATTTATGGTACTACATCAATAGCAAATATTGGGGTATATCTGTTCTCTGCAGTGCCTAAATGGAAAGTTTCATTAAAATGGCAGAATAATTTTTCAACTAAAACTTTATAAAGATGTACATGGTAGCATATTTTTAACTACTTCTTTCTATATATTTTGACTCAGATCTATTGAGACATACCTTTTCCAAAATCACTTAAGAAGTAAGATGGAACTGAATGTTGGTTAATTGGCTCGATAACTCCTAACAGATTATATTTTTTTAGTTCATCTGCTGCATACTTCAGATTACTTTCATACACATCCCAATTCTTTTGTGTTACATCATTCAATTGTCCAGCCATTATGTGTATTTTCCTAGCGCCAAGAGCATTAGCATAATCAATAGTTTCTCTTAAATTTGCTTGAAATTCTTTTTCTTTTCCTGGTACTGCAGTTACTCCTAATTCTCCTTTAGTAACATCTCCTTTAAGGAAGTAAAAATATTTGTAAAAAAATACAATAATAGTACCAAGAAGAATATGCATTCACCTAGGTAGAATATTGTTAGTTAAATACTAAATAATAAAAAAACATAATGAGTTATGTAATATATAAACTTAAGGAAAAGGTAGGTAACCAATTGAAATACAAATAGTTGAACAATTTACAGTCCTTATATTTAATTGAAAGCAAATAAATTATTTGTTGCTATGTTAACACATATGCAGTACAGTAATTAAATAAAAAAATATCAGAATTATTTGCACAGTTTATGTCTATATATTACACAAATGTTATTATATGTAAATGTATCTATCTACTACAGAAGCTAATATACCTTCGTCAATCAAACGATACAAACCTGTTTTTATATTAATAAGGACTTGTTCTATGCCTGCATTTTCTTTAGCTTGTTTCACCTCTTCCAAGGTATGTCCAAATGGAAATCCACTCTCAACAGCCTTAAACCCAGCTTCTTTCGCTAGAGCATATCTTTCCAATATCGTGGCCCCCTCAGAAAACATAAATGATAAATTGGCACAAAACTTCATTGTCGGTTAAAAATTGCACTCAAAAGCTTTGATTTACGACTATTGACTTATATAGTGTGGACTCTAACATAATTGGGTATTACACTTGTTGATAGTGTGTTATCAATTCTTATCTAACCAAAACAGCTACCGCGATTTCTAAAGTAAACAATAAGTTATGATTGTGAACCGCACTCCACAGCTGATAAATGTCAAGTTCTGCTGATTTTAATTTTTAACTCCACAGATTATTTACTTTTCTCGTGAAATCTATAATATAAAAAATATATATATTTCGGAAGGTTTAAAAAAAATAAATTTCGATTGCTTAAATAATAAAAAATCAACTTAATCTCTGAGCTATCTTTTGTGGGATAGACAGTTGGATCAGTATCTTTTTAAATTTTAAAATCTGCTTTATTTGTTTCCCTCGCGATAAAATCAGTATCCTCTCCTGATAGAGGAATCCAATGCGCTTATGTGTTAGCTAGAAAAAAAAATAGGAGTGTTCTAGTAACTAAGCAACCCAAAGGTAATTTGTAGGATACCTATAAACGAAATAAAACGCCCTAAATCTGTTAAAACTGATTTATTTTCAGTATAACCCATTACAATACATTAGGAAACATGGATGTAAATCACCACATTAGAGTTTCATTACGTACGCAAAATATTTAGCCTTTACAGGAGGATAAAATCTAACAAGGTTGTATAACGAAAGGCGAAAAATAAATTAAACTTAGAAAATGGCCACTTCAATGTTCGGTTAACATAAATGAAGGTGCTCTTAAATTATTAATACGATAACATAAGGTGGAGTAAGGTTAAACTTAAAACTTAACGCTAAAATTTTACTGCTACATAGAATAATAAGGCATAACTCCATAAAGTGCGTTTTGAATTAAAGTAATATATCTTTGGATTAAATAGAAGTATCATATATCGTTTTATTGTTCACCTTCTATTTCTTGCATTTCTTAAATCAGCGACAAAAAACTGCTTGGATATTGGATTTTCTTATGATTGTTAAGTTACTTTTTAAAACGACAAAAATGCTTGGGGTTTGGATGAACTGCTCTAACAAGAAAAAAAAATATAACTTAAAGTACTTGAACACTGTAAAAATTTGACGATAAAAGGAGTGGTGGCGAGTTTCTTGTTAGTTCTTTTTCATTTAGAAATGAGAACGGATGAGTGACGTTCAGAAGTATACCTAGTCACCTAATTGAATAAATGATTTTTGACTTTGACAAAAGAGTCTTATCGCCTTATTATTCTTAGATGATGAAATGTTTTCTGTATTTGCAGTATGTAAAGTTTACAAAGAGGTATTCACGGTTTATAAATATGATTTTTGATATTAACACAGCCATATCTTACTACGTTGTGTAGTTCTGAACTTATCCTAAACTGTTACAAGAATACTTAACTAAGTATATAGTTATTAAATAGCATTGATCAGCAAGTATACAAATTGAGCACTGTGTCAATACCCTGTATAGTATATTCTAAGTCTTTTAAGTCGAGTTTTTAGTAAGTCTGTTACAAATATGTCAACTAAATAAATCGCCAAAGCGGTGGTTCTTCGTCTTACAATTATTAAAGTGTCATATAACAATCTGACACCATCATTTTTTTATAAAACAGTTGGGTACGCAAACCGCCCAGATAAAACTGTCAGTGTCAAATGAGCGCGGGAAACATTCGTATACAAAACTACAGATTACAATAATTCAGTTAAATCTTCTATTACCATAGTCAAAATATCTCAAGTAAAAACATTATTTCATTGTACAAATGTATTGCGACGAGTCGCTAAAACTATTAACATTACTGTTTTCCGTATACTGACCAGAGAATATTCGTAAATTCATATAATTTCACATAATAATCGATTACACAACCTACAATTATAGTCATAATACAGACAAACTTAGGCAACATAAACCTAACTTGGGCTATTTAAAAGGCCCGTCTTTAGTGGTAACAAATTGCCTAAGTTTAGAGCAAGTCTAGTATATATCAATGCTTTGTTAATCTATCAGCCTTATAATCATTTGCAAGAATCTACATAAGCCATAGCCACTATGTTGTTAAACATATTTCATACCAAAATACTTGTTTAAATATGCTTTAACGGTTTAAAACGCTATATATATCAGTCAAACTTATTTAAAAATTATTTTAATTTCAGCGCGACGTTTGTTGTTGAAGTTGGTATTCGACGGAACAGGTGGCGCTAGCGTAGCAGTTTTTTTACTTTGACTTCACCTTTCATCTTTAGTCTCGCCGTGACGTGCTGCAAAGCATCCGAAACGTCGGTCATAGTTAAAAGAATTATCAAAGAAGTTTGACTAATATATATCGCGTTTTAACTGTTAAGCTGTTTTATTTAAATGAGTATTACTCGCGTAAACTACAGACGGTATTCAAAATACTTGGATAAAAATGCATTTTAGCATTAGTTTTAACTCAATGCCTCAAATGTAGGCTTCTTGCAACTGACTGTCAACGCTACTAAACGATTTATCTTTCGTTACCGGTATAAAAACAACAAAAACAGCTCAATACCTAATTAGCGTATTATTCGTAAAATCTTAAAACTATCAGTTCAAGCTTAGGCAACATAGTGGAATGTTTGTTCTACCATTCGACTAGTCGTAGGGATACTGGGGACTTTGGTGATAGTAGAAAATCAAACTGGACGTCGATTTCGCCGTCAAATTCTACTCGCCACTGCTGTATGATCTGGAACGGTAATTACGATTACGAGGTTTCCAGGCTTTCCTTATAATCTAGAAGACCACTCGTCTTGAACATAGTGATTTGAAGGCACATTCTATTCATAAATACTAGAGTTATTACACATAACTTTTTACACATAGACTATATATACTAGACATAAGTTATATAAATTATATTATTTTAACATAAACATTGATAGGCCCACCTTCAAATATAGCGCAAAAAAAGATTGAGTTTTTTAAACATTTGTAATCATCAACATAGTTTGTATTTGCCAAAATATCTTATCTAGAAATAAGTTTTACCTTAGCGACCAACAAATGTAACTCCATTTCTACAAATCTCTTTCCCGGACACATGCGCTTGCCTCGGCCGAATGGTGCCACGAGAGAAGCTGCGTGCGGTTCTCTTACATTGATCCACCTCTCAGGTAGGTATTCACCAGCGCGCCAGAAGTTTTCTTCCCGCTTGCAAGCTGTCACCGTATGCGCGAGGATAAATGTCTGAAATACATGGAACATAATTAAAATGTTATTGGTTATTTTGAAATCATACATTTGTCTTCTTTTTCTTTATGATAGTGGAGGGCAAGGGTGGGTACACTTGATGGAGGGTTAAAAATCCCAGCCATATAACTTGAGAAGATGCGCTATTGATCTATTTTAAATTCGGATTGTATCGAACTAGACAGCTGGTCCTACAAAGGTTACAGCCCTATTGAATGATTTCTTTATATCAGTCTAAATACTTTTAAAAAATTAAACCTGTTCTAGTAGGGTTTAGTTTTTAGAAAGTCGTGTTTATAGCTTTAGTTGGCTATGACCTGTAAAACATCGTTGTATCTATACTATATATATAAGGCTGAAGACTGCGCTGTGCCTAATAGGAGCAAAGAAACAGCGGGATTTGTTTAAAAATGGGCAAAATTATTCATCTTCGTGGGTTTCCAATCAACACGCTGCGAAAACGGTTTCGAAGATTTATCCCTTAAAGGTATATAATATGTCTGCGACATTAGAATATTATGTCTATCTTTTAAAATTAACTTGCAAGAACGACGGGACGCAACCGACGTCGTGAGTTACAGCTTAAATTCGTAAAGATAAGGAGGCGGATTGCAAACACAAATTTAAATATACAAAATAACTATTCTATGCGAACGAAGTCGCTAACACAGCTAGTATAAAATTAAAGTATCAAATATATTTGCCTTTTTTACAGTCAAAAGTGTTGTTATCATTTGCGTAACAGACTGATTACTATGTGAATATGGTAATCGCGTACTTACACCAGCAGGAAAATTGTGTCCAGCAATATTCATAGGTTGTTCAAGAAGACGGGCCAAGAACGGTACGGTGGGTAGGACACGGAATGCTTCGTTCGTCGCCGCCTTGATAGATGGCGCTGAAACCAAATCCTCGATGCCTAGATCTCCGCACGATGGTAGCTCCGACCTAATTCTTTGCTGCCAATCTGGTCTTCTACTTAGTAAATACAGAAGGAACACCAGACTGTTTGCGAGCTGTAAGGATTAATTTACATTATAAATAAATTTCGCCTTTTCCAAAAAAATAACTAAGGTGGTGTAACATTGTTTACTTAATAGTGTCTGTAATTAACGCGAGTTAAAGTTAAAGAAACCGTTAAACTGTTTTATTTAAATGTGTACTACATTTAAATTAAACACTTTATCGGTTTAAAACGCGGTATATCGTAGTTAGACTTATTCGATTATTATTATTTTAACTTCGGCCCGACGTTTCAAAGCACAGTCTCTCGAGCACGGCTGCAGCAGCCGTGGTCGCGGAGAGACTGTCTTCTCGTTATTAACTGTTATTCGTGACAGTGTGAATACTTATATAAATAATGTAGATGTAAAGAAATTAGTTATAGTAGCTAGACTCAGTCCACCTCGTATTATATTATATGTACCTTTGTAATGAACTTACATATTGAGTATTACGTAATATTTGAATCGCTAAATCTATTTAGAGATCGCTGTGATAACACGCCTTTTGTTGAACGCCACGTGAAAATATAACCTTTATAGCAAAGCAGACAAATCCACTCAATACAATAGTGCACTCACAGTCTCAATGCCAGCCGTGATAAAATCGATGACGGCGGCTTTTTTGTCCCTCATGTCTAGTTCAGGGTTGGCCAGTATCTTGAGGAAGATCTCCTGCATACCGTCGTCTTGTGATGAACCGCGGGTCCGCGATCTCGCTTCCTCCATCAACTCTGATACTATCCTAAAAGCAATATAGTTTTTACAATAATTATTTCGTTTATGTACTTTACTGCCAGACGCCCTATCAATGACTTAACAAAAAAAATAGATAGCGTATATAATCAAGTTGTAATTATATCAATGAAATTTTATGTCTGCTTGCTATTTTACTTAGTAGAAGTGGAAGATAAATCGATAGATAGAGTAGGAGTCCAATTAAAACGATACGATTTATGCTAAATAACTAAAATTGTCTTCAGTTAGAATATGTTTTATTATTGCGTAAAGTAGAATTTGCTGTAAAAACCCGGGACAGAAAAAACATACTTTGAATTTGGATTAAAATCTCGATATAAGAACAACTACATTTGATAAAATACTAACGAGTGTATAGTCTCCTCGCTCTTAACGAAAGTTTTGTAAAGCGTAGTTGGCGCAAACTTCCACAAGGGGGCGCCGTAGTACGAGTCCCTCTGCGCCCTGAAGTGAGCTTTGACAACAGCAGCGAGGGTAGCAGCCCGACCAGACATACACCGCTCTAGAAAGCCCAGTCTTGTGCCCAGCATCAGCCCGCAAACAGCTGCAAAACAACAATTAGATAGGAAACACTTAGAGACCGAAACTCAATCATCTTCCAAGCAAATGCTTTACGAAAATGTATGTGCTGTAAGCCCCAAAATAAGAAATGTTCACCAGAGCCAAAAAACTTTTTTGAAATTAAAAAGAAAATCGCAACTCAAAAACTACACATCGTAGGAACACGGTTTTAAAAACGTATTTTTATTTTTTCTCGCTTTATACGTTGGCTATAAAGATATCCTCCTCACTCAACTGTTGTGCATGTTTTTGTGGCTTACAACAAACAAATTATTTTTTACTGATCTACATAACGCAGTAAGCTTAGGGAATTTTCTATGGCAACTAAATATATTTCATATTACGTTTAGGTCTATAAAATGTTGTAAAAGACATACCTGTTTTTTAGGTACAGTTAAAAAGGCGTAAGCCGACATGAACAATTGTCTTGCATTGATATTATTGATTTAACTGAAATTAGTAGGAAACTGTTTTACAAATGAAGGACTTTGAAAACATTGCTTCTTTTATTAAAACTTATTATTATAATGACTAATAACATAGTCAACAAAATCAAATACAAATTAAATCAAGTAACTTAAATCAGATATAAAAAAAAAACGTAAGAGTTGGCAATGAATAATTAATATCATCCCGCTAAACTGGCGTAAGCCTCTGTTTGAAAAAGTTGCTGACTGCAAAAATGGCGTAAGCAACAAATGCATAAAAAATTCTAGTTTTTGGTAGACTTACGACTAAAAAACACTAATATTTTTCAAAAACCTGACGGCCTAAGTGATTTTTTTTTGTCGTAGAAATATGAGAACCAGACCAATCGACGCAGTATTTTTTTCTGATAAAAATGATGTAAAAAACGTAATTTTCATTTTTTAAGGCTTACAGCATATACGTTTCCCTACGTCGATATATTTCCGGATACACGCATCTTGTTTTTTATGATAGAGGGAGACAAACCTGGGGTACACGTGAATAAACAAGATACCCTGTCGACTTATTTTGGATTCGGTTATTGGGATTTGTAGTTTATGCGAGTACTACACATTTAAGTAAACACTGTTAACTATCTTTTAAGTTTAACTTGCAAGAAACAACGGGAAGGCACGCGACCTACGTCGTGGTTAACAGCTTCAGTTTATAAATAAGAAGGAGTTTGCAAAAACGAATTTGGATGCCCAAAATAACTATTCTATGCGGACGAAGTCGTTGACACAGCTAATTGTAAATAAAATTATTTATTATCTACATAAGTGTGAGTAAATTCTAGACTTCGAATTCTCAGGTTAAAATCTAGGACAGAAGGTCTACCTAACTGTTCCTTGAAACAAGTTTCATGTTGCTTCCCAACTCGTATTACATTTACAAGCGGAAATACAAAACTCAAAGTAAACTGATGACTTTGTATGACTTTTATTGCTTACAGTTTACTTTAATACAATAAATGTATTTACACATTTTACTGCTTAAATTACCTACAAAGAAAATATCTTTGTGTTTTAAGCAAAAAGACATTTCAGTCTGATGAAAAACTGATCTGTAAAACAGACTCAAAAATGTGTCCGCCTTATGTATAAATTACATTTCACTATTTAATAAAGAGCTTATTCACTTAAATTAAATTTATGATGGCAGTCTTATAAGTTGCTGTTAAAGAAATTTTGAGAACTTTAATATTTTATTTTAGTTTTTCACATGTTATTGCAAATGGCATTATAAATATTAAAAATCGAGTTTAGATTTGAAAAATTTGCGACACAGGGAGACATTGAAGTGTTAAGGTTGAAACAACAATGCGCGAGAGTTGCATGTATCAATAGGTTGAAAAAATTCAATGATCACCTGTAGGACACTGTAGCTCCATTGGTTAGAGCAACAGCACGGGACGCTGTGGATGCCGGTTCTAGTCCTTTTCGTTTTTTTTTATACTCGTTCGTTTTTAATGCTTTAGTATCAAAACAAAACCGATCTTTCCATGTATTGCAAAATCAACCATTTTAATTAAAATTACACGACTTATCTTGATTATTCTAGAATCTAGCCGCGAGTCGTGTTCTAATTTGATAAGACCGAACCTTATCGATATCGTCTAGTCGAACTTAACCCATTTGCCTATTTAATTTAAATGTCAATTCAATATTTAGTCTAAGGCAAACGATAAAGAGACATTTTTTAACGTGGTCTTGTGCCCCTTTTTCTAATGGCAAAAAAAGGCAAATTTATGTAATAATATTTTATGCCGTGGTCGTCGGGAAACTGTGGTAGTACCATAGAGAATGATAGAACTTTTCTAATATCGACTAACTGTGCGAGTGACTTCGTCCGCATGAAATAGTTATTTAAGGAATCAAATTATATATTTTTGCAAACAAACTCCTTAGCTTTATAAATTATAGCTGTTGTCCCGGAGTCGTCCGTGTTCAGTAGTTCTTGCGAGATTAAAAGATGGATATACAGTCACGGATTTTTTTTTAGATTATTTAAAGCACAATCATTCTTTCATACATATTTTCTTGTTGAATTTCTAGATTTAAGAAATATTCTATTTTTTTTCTCACAACCCTACCAAACATGCACCATGGTAATATTTATTATTTTGCCGGCATTACCAGATTGCAACCCGCATTTTTATCATTAGCATTTAGGTTGTTCATGATTGTTATTACATAATAAGTATAACTATCTCATCTCTTACTCATCATATAAGTATATAATCATCAGACATAATTTTCTAAGGATAACGAAATAAGTAAATTGATGTAACTTAAAACACGTTGATACTATTTAATTATCAAAGAGTTTTAATTTATTTGCCTAATTATTATATTTAGTTGCTAACGATATGGTATCTGTGGGTATATTCGTTTCCACCTATACAAGCTGAGCAGAGGCGCCCTCTGGAGTTTTGCGAGCGAGATAAAGAGACACCGCGCCACTCCACTTTTGTTTATCATGATTACCATCTACCGCCACTAAATTAAAAAGAAAATTAAAGTGAAAACGAGACCAATACCTTAATATTATTTCTGAGGTACAGTGGTGGCTTCTCTAATCTAGGCTAGTACTAGACATTTAAATAAAATGCTTATCGCATGCTTTGCAGCAGCTGTTGGAACATGGGAAGACTGAAGATGGAGGGTGTCCCTAATGTCAAAGGAGAAACTGTTACGCTAGCGCTATCCGATCCATCTTAGTTGATATGTGTCGATTAGACTTGGTACTAATACATTTCGTGTACTTCTTGTTATTTTGCTACACAAAATTCAATATGCCGTACTTTACCCTGACCTAGTATTTGAAACCTGGACCTTGTAATCTGTATTGAAGTGCACTATCGACTAACAGACGATTCAGTGGTAATTTATGCCATTTTGAAGGTAAAAGATTGTACCATAGCAATGCGTTCATTCATTCAAAGCTTCCCATTTGATATTTGTTTAAAAATTTTAGTTTATAATTGCTGATTTACAAATTGCAAAAATACCCCACTTATCATCATGTGTACTCATTCGGATCTGACGCAGCTAATCTTTATAAAACTATTTATTTAATTACGCAAAGTTCACGAAGGTTATCGTAATACTTGCCATATTTGCTTTTATCAGAATCGTGTACTTATTGAAAATCACGATTGCGTTTCATTCATCATTCGAAATTTTTGCCTACACCTAATTGTATAGATATCGGAGTATAAATTATTTTAAACCGTTACAATTTGCCATGCAGCCATTTTTGGCAGACCAGGACAGACTATAGTATGCCATGTCAACTTATTCTCGGAAACCCACAGACTGAAACTCGGTTTTATACTCTGAGCTTTATCTGTGCAACTTCCATAAGCCTGCATTAAATTATATTGCGGACGACGTCTAACATGTTTTAAAATTAGAAAATGACCCGCGGAATCAAATTGACGACCTGTCGGTTATTAATAGACCTAACTTCATAAGTGATAACATCTTTTAGGAGGACAGAATTGCCTTGTTACGTAACGCGTTATGCTGAGTCATCAACCCATACCTATAAGATAATTTTTGCTTCGCATGTATTCTTTAGTCCTATTTTAATTGGTGGTAGCATATTGTAATTAATAAAATAAAGCACAATAAAAGGAAATAAGAAATCAATTTTAAGTGCGAAAAAACCCATTAAATTCGTTTTACAGATAAAGATGGTTCATTTGTAAACCATAAATCAGGTGCAGTTATTATGTCCCATTAAAATAAGTCGTCGTCTAATTTATACATCGACGACGTTGCAAAAAGAATTCGGCTGCAGTTTATTCAAATGAATTATTTAAATCTTAAGACCGACTAAAGATTTATATTGAACATCTATACTAATAATAATTGTACACGTTGATACAATAGAAAACCAATCTTAGAAGATTTTGTCTTAGTTCACAAGGTCAATTGAAATAACCTCTCAGAAATGGTTTATTTCTTTAGAAGTAATCTTAACAACAGATATTCGATAAACTAATATATCTCACTACAGTCACTATTGTTACTAAAATCCAATAAATTCCCACTAAAACACTCCGAATATAATTGTAATTAACTTAAACCTGATTACCGCCTCTGGAGCAAATGGTTAAACGTATTGCCTAGCATTGCGTTAAGCGCGAGAGGTCCTGGATTCGAATCCCAGGCAAAAAAAATACTTGTTTCCGTCAGCTAGGGCACAGAAGTCTCAACGACTTGCCTGTTAAAGATCAATGAAACGAACACAAAAATGTGTTCGCCCCATGCCCCACTGGGGGGTAACGGGATTTCACTTTTTTAAACCTGATTACTTAAAATATTTGTCATGTGATCGAAAATGTTTGAAAACAAATGATTGAAAAGATGTATCAAACATCTCAAGATAAAAATTTCTGTTATATATTTAAAACACAAAATTTGATCCCAAACCCAAAATAACAAATATTCGAACATATATTGGATGGTTTGTATGACGTTAGATACTGTCTATAGTTTACGCGAGTAGTACACATTTAAATAAAACACTTTAACGGTTTAAAACGCGATATATTAGTTAAACTTATTTGAAAATGTTTTTAACTTCGGCCCGACGTTTCGGATGCTTTGCAGCCAGCCGCGGTCACGGGAGTCTCCCCGTGACCACGGCTCTGCTAATATATCGCGTATTAAACCGTTAAAGTGTTTTATTTAAATTGTATGACGTTACTAAAATACTAACAACTTAACTATCATACGGGTAAATTCTCTACGATTCTGACCTAAATAGCTCTATCGTAAAACTAATATTTCATTCAATATTGCATTGTTCGTATCAACCTTTATCTAAACGAAATGACGTCAGTAAGGACGAGACCTGATGCAATCTGTTGAGAGTAAATTTTGAAAACATCGCATTTTATTTTTTCTCCATAATTTATCGGCATCTGGATGTATATTATGATGTCAATTTTAATGGGTGGTCCGCAGACGACATAATTTATTTTAGATCAACGCCCGTCGGGATTTCGACTAATTAATTTTTTAATACCTAAAACAGTTTTGTGCATTTTGTTTGTTTCTGTTTAGTGAGTCGAATTCGTATTATTATTTGCTGTTGCCCGGGAGTTGCTTGCGTTTGAGTTTTAAAAACTAAGACTTGAGAATAATTATTAGTAAGTTAGGCTGGCTACATTATCTACTTGTAAGTTCTTGTGTTCGTTATCAGCATTAATATGATAATCTTATAAGTTTTCTATAGTAGTAGTAAGCAAAATGTTTAAGTAAGTTCTTTTTACACTTCTCACGTTTTTCATCAGAAAACACCGTTTTGTCAACCAGCTATCGAATCGAAGTGTCGTTGTGATGTTTAGGCAGAACATAGTTTGTTTAGGGTTGCAGGTATTTTTAGGGAACATAGCTAAAGTAGTTGTAGGCTTATGTAGCAAGTAGTCCACAATCTAGCTCAAAAGTGTATACTGCTTTTAAAGTACACAGGTTAATCGCACACATTATTAAATCGTCTTGATATGGGATATTTCTATAAGTACGAATCTTAAGACGTCAATATCGCACGCAGGCATTGTCACGAATATACAGTAAAAAAGAACATTGATATTAATTGGTCTATTGAACTAGCTTGTTGAAGGCTTTTTGTTAGTCATCGTACGTACTTTTGGAAAAAAAGTTTTACCATTATACTTTGCAATCAAACAATGTTTGGCCTTGATACGTTTAGATGTATATTTGATACATAATAGATAATATAATAGTCATGCTTCTGATTTTGTAAGAAAGAACATTTTTGTATAACTAACTTAAATAACATATTTAACCATACAGAATCAATTGTAAATCAATTAAACAGATCTAATTATTAAATTAGCGATTCCTCTATTAAATACTGTCTATAGTTTACGCGAGTAGTACACATTTAAATAAAACACTTTAACAAAAAGACGATATCGGTGAAGTATACTTTGCATGTTGGTTAATACGTAACATAAATCCCGGGACTGATTTCAACTATAGTTCTATTCATCCCGGAAAGATACCCGCGATTGCAATTGAACGATAAAGCTATGCGTTTTGCTAGCTGATATCAAATAGTTTAAGAATAAAGAGCTTATGGCAAATGGCCAATCCTATCTATTTGCAATGCGATATAATAGCTACTTAACTGTAATTTGGAGACGTACACAGCAGAAAGTTTGCCAAAATAGAAAAATACTAGACGCATTCATTTCGAGATCAGATTTCTGGGGAGCTGAAAAATATTTCCTACTGTCTTTTATTGCTTAACCATGTATTAATTTTATTGTATGAATATCCCTATCTACATTAACCATAGTGCATAGACTATATTATGACTGCTCAAATATTTAAAAATGTCCGCACACGACCTTTGAAGATAAGGGTAGACAAAAACAATACTTTATGAAATTAAAACTCCTAGAAGAAAACCATAAAGCGTTATCTCTAGAGCAGTAAACCTATTTAAGTTTCGTCGTTAGACTATTAAGATAAATAAGAGCGAACGCAGTTTATCTTTAAAAACTAAAATGTTAGGGATGTTTTTGTTATTTGTTGTTTACTGGCCGCCTTATCTGTCTGTCATGTATCCACTTTAAAAATTTAATTTTTAAACTCATCTTTATTACTTTCATAATTATTAGTGTTGCTACGTTCTTAACAATTAGCTAACGTACGTTATTTTTTACTATCTTATCTGCATAGTTACCAAATTCGTTATACGCACAGTTCAAATTCTTTTTTTGGTATTATCGATGTTTTAGTCTCGTGATTATCATGTTAAATGTAACTGATTTGATGAGCTCAATGGAAGATATAGTTCTACTATTATTATTTTTAACAAAAATAAAAATGGCAATACTTGTATAACTCTGTACGGCAAGACTATTGGACATTAGACCTATGCTCTTAGTATCCTTGCTGATTGCAACATTTTCGGGCAATACAACAATGGGAGTATTGCCACTTAAAAATCACGCTTTAAAACAATTATGCGCGTGCCGTAAGAAGTTATAGAATAAATTGGTTTCAAATTTAAAAATCAAAGATCGCCTCAGTCATAAAAATAATCAAAATCGTTGCACAATTTAAGTACTCTCAACGTTCAATCATAGCTGCAATCTCCTACTTAGCAGTCCACATAGATAAATTGAACAATAATTTAATGATCCATAGATAAGTACAAAATGGCATAGATAATGCATATCTCACACTTCGCCTCGGAAGTTCAAACGTCAAATCAATTCATGCACTTGTGAAACGTATGTGCACGTCACAGATTATAGTATATGAAATATGAGGTATGTTTAAAAAATATCTATGTTAAAACTTTGACGTTTGACATCTTGGCTTAAAGGTCTCGTTACCAGGCCATTAAATATTAAAAAAAATACCTTTGACATATAAATTATTAATTAATATAAATGTATATATTATTTAAATCAATTATCTGTGGATAACTTTTAAGTTATAACAATGATATTTTGCTTTACAAAATTATTGTATTCTTATTATAGAATTATTTTAGGTATACATATTATAAAATCAATTATGAATGTAGAAATTAGATTTGGTTAATTGTGTGTGAGTTAATAAATACGAATAATTTTATTATTCCATGTACACCTCTGTATAATTTTCCACGTTAATATTACGCAAGTCTGGCCGATAAGTTGGATAAATCCTAATTATTCCAGTACCAATCTAATCATAAAATTAATGTCTTCCTGTTTCTACTTCTCAATCAAGTTATAAGTAATAAGTAAGCGCAGCTTTGATAGAAGATAACTAAATTACTAGACTGTTTCTTAATGTCAGGAAATCGGTATATCGGAAAGTCTTACAAGAGAATATATAATATATAGATTATAACGACTGATTACGAAAAAAACGATCCGATAGGTTTGAATAATCTGTAAATAAAGAACAAGCATACAAAACGTTATTTTACATATTGCCTTACTTGTTAGAGTACTGATAGATTAACTCTAACAAGTAAGTGAAGGTGATTACTTAAACTTATATTCACTATTCGCACAGCAAGTCTTAAAAATATTTAACACAGTCTATATCACTTACATTCCAGCCCCATTCTATTTGTGAGGTGATCAAAGCCCAGTACAGTGCCATCAGATCGCCTGCAATTCTTCAAAAGTGCCAGGAAGTCGTCACAGATATTATTCAACTGCGGAATAAATCCTTGTATAGTCTGTGGACTCGTCAGTTCCGAAGTTAGATGGCGGCGTAAGTGATGCCATTTCTCCCCTTGCCTGCGAATTAATGCGTGGTTATCGTTTTATGCTTAAGGGCCCTATCATAGAATTATCCGACCCTATGCTATTTTACAAGGCCTGCAGGCCGACCTTTTTTTTTTTTTTTATTTTTTTTTTTTTTTTTTTTTTTTTTTTTTTTTTTTTTTTTTTTTAAAAAAAAAAACCCAAAGAGGGGGGGGGGAAAGAACGGTCTGGAAAAACCCCCTTCAAAAAAACCTTTTTTTTTTTTTGGGGGGGGGGAAAAAAAAAAAAAAAAAAAAAAAAAAGGGGGTGGGGTTTTTTTCTTTGTTTTCCTTTCCCCCCTTCCTGGGGGGGTTATTCGTTCTCTTTTTTTTCCCCCCTAAAAAAAAAAATTAAAAAAATTTTTTTTTTTTTTCTCCTCTTTTTTTTTTTTTTTCTTTTCCTTTCCCTCCCTCCTTTTTTTTCCCCCCTTTTTTTTTTAAAATAATTTAAAAAAATAAAAAAAAATATTTTTTTTTAACCCCCTTAATCAAAAAAAAAAAAAAAAATTAAAAAAATTTTTAAAAAAACCTTTTTTTTTTTTTTTTTTTTTTTCCTTTTTTTTTTTAATTATTTTATTAATTATTTTAAAAAAATAAAAAAAAAAAAAAAAAATATTTTTTTTTTTTTTAATTTATCCATTTCTTTTTTTTTTTTTTTTATAAAATTAAAAAAAAAAATTTTTAAAAAAAATTAAAAAAAAAACCCCCCCCAACCTATTTCATTTTTTTTTTCCCCCAAAAAAAACAAAAAAACAAAAAAAAAAAAAAAAAAAAAAAAAAAAAAAAAAAAAAAAAAAAAAAAAAAAAAAAAAAAAAAAAAAAAAAAAAAAAAATATAAAAAAAAAAAAAAAAAAAAAAAAAAAAAAAAAAAAAAAAAAAAAAAAAAAAAAAAACCCCTGAAGGTCAGCGGTCCGACTCTGTAGCTAGGTAGGTAGTTATTGCGTCTAGATTGCATTTCCGAAATATATATACCCAAAGGAATTGATTGGACTTTGAGTAATATCTTATGTTTAAAAAAATGTGTCTGGATTAATTAAAATTATATTCATCCAACCATCCACATCGTTCTGAGCTCTAATCAAATGAGTTACGATGGCCTCCATGTCATCGTGGAACTTCTTTAACCCATATATACGCCTCTCGCGAAATCTCAATTATGTAATTGATTATTTATTCTATAATCTTAATAGATTTTTAATTTACATGACTCCATTATGTGCGGTATATGAATACAAATTTATCAATTTAGAATTCTGGGTAGACATGTTGGACTTCGTCTTGACATCTGAATACTAAATGGGTGGTAGGAATATCGAAATTCCATCCCGGTCACGAACTACCGTCTTTCACAACTACAATGACAACTTTCGGTATCTATCTGTGGATTTCCGAATATCCAAAGCCAAATCAAATTGACAGCACATCTTCTTTAGATGTTACATGCCTGGAGTCTTCCACATACCATGAAGTGAATCCCTTCCTTTTAATCTTCCTCCATTATAAAAAATAAGTGCAATAAATATAATAAAAAGTCTTCAAACGTTTCTGGATATTGAAACAAGTGTAAAAAGACGATACCTTCAATAGTACAATTTGCTGATAATTTCACTGTGGTGATGCAGGAAATGTTTTAGCAAAGTATTTCCATTTAAATAAAACACTTTAACGGTTTAAAACGCGATATATTAGTTAAACTTATTTGAAAATGATTTTTAACTTCGGTCCGACGTTTCGGATGCTTTGCGGCAGCCGTGGTCACGGGGAGACCACGGGTCACAGTCTCCCCGTGACCCGTGGTCCGTTTTAAACCGTTAAAATGTTTTATTTAAATGTGTACTACTCGCGTAAATTATAGATAGTATTTAGAGTATTTCCATTCAAATTCTCAACCAACCAAAATTTTTTTTTATCCACGTAGATCTAATATGAATCTTAAGAACGTGAACATCTTAAGAATCAATTCTCTCAACCGCTTTTATTTTTTAAATAAGCAATATCACCACATAGAAGTATTACCAATATTATTTTGTTTCGGATATAAACTATGACAGGAAGTGTTTAATCGTTTGCCAAAAAACGACTGGCCAGAACCCAACCGTTCTTTGCAGAGTACGTGACCTGGGTCTGGTATCTTTATAACCTTGCATTTTACGTTTTCCTTTTGACGTTGTGCAAAAATTGCCATAGTAATGAGAGGAATACCTGAGTGAGGATACAGGAACTGGCTATCGAGGTCTTGACGATGTAATGTCAAGGAGAGAAAGACATCTCTTTTCACATACGTACAATTTAAGGGGGATGTGTCAAAACTTACAGAAAACAATTCTAAAACTCTAACAATATCACAATATCTAAAAACTTTACTATTTTTTAACGATATTACATTTGATGGCGCTATATAAATTAAAAATTGAGAGAAAAATACGATCGATTTCTTCAATTTATAATCGATTTTTAATCACAATATCTTTGTATTCCACAACTGCGTTGAAAACATGATAATTATTATTGATAATAGACTGTGTAGTGCTTGTCGTTGTAATATGTTTTATTTCTTGTATTGCAAATTTCTTTACTGAAAAATCGATTTCTCAATTTTTTCTATATTTGAGTCAATTAAATCTTCATGTTTTTCTATTTACTATACACATAAATTTTATATATAGACAGTTTTTGAATACATAGAAAAACTAAGTTATCCCATAAATTTATTACCGTTCTAAGTAAGTTAATGATGTCTTAGGAATATAGGTCGGTAAGCTGTAGAAACTCCAATATAGTTCGACAGTTCCACCTTTCATCAAGTACCTACACCATATGCTTTTCCTTCATATAAATATATAATTTCACATAATGTAACTACTGAAAACACTAACTTTTTCCTTACCGTTGCACGCAACAAGCACTGTACTTGAAAAAATAATAAATCCATAAAAAGTACTTAGTAATAGCATCTAATAGTATTTTAGAAAAAAGATACCAAATATTATATAAGAGGTAACTGTAGTTGTTGTTTCAAGTACCTTTTTCTATTGACCTATCCGCTTTTTATACGCGTTAAACGGCGTTAATGAAAGAAACTTTTTCGCCGAATTCAAGTAGAAAGTTGCTTCTGCAGTATCTACTACTTAATTTTAGTATATTTATTTACGTATAATTTTATCATGTTCATAATTTTTTAAGGTAACAACAACGAGGTTAGGTAACTTAATGAATTTTTAATATAATATATCATCATAGATATCACTGATAACTTTTTCTCTGTTATTTTGTATTTTTTTTGTTAAACGTGACAATAAAATATATTTCTAAGTTCAAATCCCTTTTCTCGAGACTGCCACCCTACCTTACAACCCTCTTAGTAAATTTCCAGACGAAGTCCAAGATATTTCAGAAAAAATATAAATGGATTCGATAAATGTTGGTACAGGTGGGGGTACCTTCGAACCGTTGATTATTGCACTGCTTCCATTACACCAATGAGCTCGTCAATTGTTTTGTTAAAAGAAGATATAGGAATGTTTTCCTATATCTTCTTTAATACTCACTCATTAACAAGCCCGGTCGAGGCGTATCTGTCTGGGCGACTCCTTCTGTATACTTGGACGATCTCTGTCGGGGGTCTATAAGGCCTCCTGGATGGGGTCCGTAGAACAGCTTCCAAAGCGCCCCTCTCCGCAATCGAAACTAGTGTGGCGCCCCCTGGCATCACCTCCACGAACACCAACCCGTAACGCCTGAACATATCTGTGTGCAAATCTCTCATTGCGGCAAGGGTGCGTGCTGACCCCCCAAATTAAGTTATCACTCGGGGTGTGAGACTAGTAAAAAACTATAATAGGAATATAAAAACATACAAATTAAAAGTCAAAAGTTTGTTTTCGGGTACGTTATGTGTTATTTGATTTAAAACTGGATCTGGCAGAGACTCCTCGGTGCGATAAGTCCGTCTGTTACACAGTCGCGTAGTTTTTAAATATATTTTGTTTGTATTAAAGTAATCAATAAACAAAGGACATTTCGAGCCTTTCAGTAAGAATTTACCAAATCACCAAAAAATCCTTTAAGTTGAATCGAGACGTTAAGAGAACCAGACTTCTCTAGAGCTCTAAAGCACTGAATATAATTATGAATCGAAGGCGTGCAATTAAAAGAAAATATTCATATTTTCCGAACTTCTACTAACCTTCATAAGCCTCATGCAGCTTATTCAATTTATATCGACTCCAGAACAACCATCTTGTGCCAATTATGGGAAGTGCAGGTGGCCCTGGGAGTCTAATGGGCCGCTTCACATCCCCAGGACGTACTATCATCGCTGTAGCTGCCATCACTAATGCCAGGACCACTAAGATAATTGTTGGCACTCCTGACCAATCCACCAACGGCCGTGGAGAACCCTGCAAAAAGAAAATAAAAATATATTCCACCAGGTAAATATAACCACTTCAGTTATGATTGTGTCATGCATATTTCATTCCTTTGACTTTTTTTTTATACACACCAGTGTAGTAGTATATAAACAGATTAACTTATTATTACAAAAAAACGTATACATACAAAGAACTTAAATTAAGAAGAACTAGATTTCAGTAAATTTGGTCAGAATAGGATATAATTTTATTTTGTCAGCTGCCGTTGTTCTTAAGAAGTTACTTTATGGGGTTAGTTTGGACAATGTAATTATTTAAATAAAACACTTTAACGGTTTATAACGCGATATATATCAGTTAAACCTATCCGATCATTATTTTAACTACGGCAATCGTTTCGAAGCAACTTAGTTGATCTCTAATTCTGATTGAGGAAGACAGACACGCAATGAGCCTTATGTTTATTTGATGGTAGGTGGAATAATACCCCAGCCATTTAAACAAATAGCTGCCGTCCTTTTTTGGTTTTGGATATTTGGAAATCCGCAGACCGAAACCAAAACGCACTGGCGGCTTTTTCATCTGTGGGCTATGATTCGGGAGCCGGATGAAATTTCCTACCACCCATTTCATCCAGATTTTTTAGAAAAATGTTGGACCTGATGGGGATCGATCCCCTACCGGTTGATTATTTGCCACTCAGTGCTACCATTACGCAGCGAACCCCTCAAAAACTCTGAACCTTGGATCTCTCGTACGCACCACGTTTATCCATCGAGCTACAACATATGCGCTACCAGCCTCCTAGCTAAAAGTACAAGTTCATGATTGTTGCTCATGGTCGTGTACCGAATGTTTGCTTTGCGGTCGACGACCTATCGTCATGCTGATCGTTGACGCAGCGTTCTTGACATTGGCTCTGCGTAAATCCGTTACGCAAGCTGCACTGTGGGTTGAGTAATTGATCCCAAAGTAACAGTAAGACTCCTATCGAGAGTTGTTTATATTTTTTGTAAAGCTGTCAGAAATCTATACTAATATTACAAAGCCGAAGGATTTGTTTGTTTGAACGGAACCACTGGGTCGAGTTGAAAATTCCTTTTTGTGTCGGTTTATCGATAAAAACCTAAGACTATAAAATCCAGGCATCGAATAATAGGAGCGAAGAAGCAGAGAGAAATGTGGAAGATAAGGGGAAATCTTAAGATGTTTAAATTTTGTTTCCCTTTGGGTCCATAAGCTTGTAAATTTTGATATCTTTCTAAACATAAAATTTATTTATTATAATATGCATATAAAAACACCCGAATTACGAACCACGAAAGTGAATCGTATAGGACGGAAGCTTTTCATCTGCCTAAACTAATGGTTTTCTGATCGACTTTGCCATAAAGTACTAAAAAATATTTTTTAAGTTTCAAATGTTATGTATTTAAAATCTCACAAATCTGGCGGTTATCACCAAAATATCCACGGTTAGCCTCAGCGGTGTACTTTATCAATGAAAATATTTAAGTTACGACAGCTCGTAAGAAGATCTAAAAATAGCCGCCACTTATAACTGTTACGGAACCTGCATTTTGTTTATAAAACGTCACTCAGATCACGTTGCGTAAATTATTAACGGAACTCCAATTTAAATGTCATTGACTTAGGTATTGTTGTGTGCGTTATATAACAAGTATTTGTTTATTGGTTATTGGAGGAACATCGGTGGCATTTTTTAAATAAGGTTGTTCCTGTCTACAGTTTACGCGAGTAGTACACATTTAAATAAAACACTTTAACGGTTTAAAACGCGATATATTAGTTAAACTTATTTGAAAATGATTTTTAACTTCGGCTTTTTTTCATGAATTTTAAAATATTTTAAACTTATAAACGAACGTCATAGTGTTTAAGAGAGATGACGCTCGCCTATACTCAAAATAGCCAGCTGTCTCTTCCTAAATGCCGATATGGATTTTTTTCCCAATATTAAGGGTTATAATTACCTTGAAACAATACGTGATGATTCTGACCATATCTATAAATTGCGTATTTTGAAGAAACGAGTAGTTTTTATCTTCATAGACGACTTGATTGAAAAGGTCATCCTCTACGCAAATTCCAAACTAGATTAAATCAAGAAAAACACAGTTTTTTTGCGAAATAATTATACATATGTTGATAGCGGCTAATGTGTTTATTTGCAGCTTCTTAAGCAATGGAAGAAAACAAATTATCACAATATTGAAACACTAGTGGTCGCATGCAATTATATTAAGACCTGGGTCTTGGTTATCAACGACTACTAATACTACTAGTGAGTAGTATTAGTAGTCGTAGTAGCTAAAACCCAACATTTCTGGATCGACATAGTATACATAACCTTTTTAACCATCCTAAGAGACAGAAGACCTGTGCCTAGCTGGAGAATGCACAATTTCTTCATACTGAGCAATAATAATAAGATAATAAATATAAAATTAAAATAATTACTAGGACACGATCATTATACATTAAAAGGAAATAAAAACGTATAAGTATAATATATTTAAATAAAACACTTTTTGCACGGGCCGTACTTAAAATCAATTTAAAGTTAGTAATATTTTGCGTTTAAAATTGTCAAAATCTTTTATTTTAATGTGTACTGCTCGCGTAAGGTTTTTTTCGTTATTTGTATTATTTTACCTACTGCATTTAAGGTCTGCAGGAAATAAGGAAACATTAATTTAATTAATGCAATTAGCCGAACGTGATTTCTATGTAAATGTATTATTTTCTTCTCTATCTATCTTAATTTCGTTAGTTTTTCATACCATTGCGTAGATACAGCAAATGGCCGACTATCGTGATACCTGCTGAATAATATTAGCTACTATAACTATCTTAAGCATTTTATAATAAAAACCCATATTTAAAAAACCCCCCCCCTTTTTCCCTTTTTTCCCGCCCCCCCTTTTTTTTCTTTTTTTTCCCCCCCCCCCTTTTTAAGGTTTTTAAAGTTTTTTTTTTATAAAATAACTAAATTATTTACGACAGCGTTAAGCCATGAAATAAGTTTATGATATATAGATATATGATATACTAGGTTGAAGTTATCTAGTACATATCCCAACTAAACAGGCGATTAGCGCTCCTCGCCCAACCCACGTTATAAAACAACTCGCGTCCATCTTGATTTTCAACTTTTTATCAATCTTTCAATGCAATTTCCAGTATCAGACCACCGATGAAAACACTTCATATTATGCGCCTCTATTCAATTCGAGAGAATCGTCTAGCCATAACTTCTAGTTTATTTTTTAGTCGTCTGCGATTCGATTTGGCTATAATTTATAAAATCGATTTCTTTACAGAGCTGACCCTGAATACGTCCAGTCTTTAACAATCTCCGGTGCACGCAAACAATTTCTTTTATTGCCTCGTATGGATTTATGATACCTTATTTTAATGTTACTTTTAAAACTCAGTACGTCTTCTGTATGAATGGACCCTTTAAATGAAAGTGATTGAAATATAAAACGTTAAAATAGTCTGTGGTCAAATTTTTAACAGAATATCCAAACGCCATAGACTATAATAAGTAAAGTCTAGACACAAATGTTATTTTTAATTATAACTACATAAAACACGTCCTTGAACACGACCGTGACTCTGAGTATTTATAACTAAATGTAAAAATAAATATAATTAATTGCCTAACGATAACCCAACGCACAGGAATATAAAATTATCGATTGTATTTAAAGTTGTCTTCCGAACACCAGACCCACATTATCTTTGTTGTGTACGTATTCACAAACCTGTAAACATGACTTTTCAAAGTACATAAATATCCAAAATATTAAAGTTTTTCAAAACAAAATCAACAAACAAAAAGTAACTGTCATGTATTTACGAAATGTTTATCTTCCTTATTTAAACTGTAGTTTGATCACTAAATATACATTCGAATACCTACTCTGTAAATAAACCCTGTGATTACGACTTGTGAGTAAGGAATAATAAGCACAGACTGCATAGTTATGTTTATTTTTATTAGCCGTCCCCTGACTGTACCCTATCCCCAAAATTTAGGGTTGTCAAGGTCAGATCTCAATCGTTAAACAAGTATCCTGCCATTTCAAGGTCAAACGAAACCCCACCTTGTAGGGACCAACTTTATTTACACAGCCATGTGCCATACACACGTTATAGATATCGCTGTATAGATAGCAAGACCTTGAACATTTTAAGCTAGGTTTTATTTTGTACTAGGTATAACTTATATAAAACATTTATTAATCTGTTTCTGTTGTTAAGTACTTAATATCTTATCTTTTCAAAATATTGTTTAGTATAGATTATAGAACTTTCCTATTTATGTAATATTTTTGCTTTGTTTGAGCCTAGCGATACCCAGGATGCATTAAATAAATTACAAGAAAACCTATCACGTGTCACACTGTGGTCAAAGCAAAACGCATTGGTTCTTAACGCAGACAAAACAAAATTTTTGTTGCTAGGCACCCCCCAAATAATAATAAAAGTAGAACACGGGGGGGGGGTTTCACTGAAAACCGGCGCTTCTCCTCTACTCTGGGTGGTGATTGGTGAAGCACATGCCGAGTGCTTTTCCCCATTTCAGAAGCACTCGTCCAAGTTTCTATTTTTTTGTTTGTTTCTCTTCTTTCACTTTTTTATAAATGTTAGTTATTTAAGCTTATATTTAAGTTATTTATTCTGTGTTGTGAAATTAATGGTTTGAGTTTGAGTATTTTTTAATAAAAACGCGTTTTAATGATTAAGTAACAGTTGAAACTGTTAATTTTCAAATCTCAGTTATAAACCAGATCATTATACTAAAAACTATGTACATTTAAGTAGTAATAGTGCTTAAAAATAAAGATAGCCTACATAAGGCACAGATAATATTAACCTTAATAGTATATATCGGCCAGGTATAGAATCAATAAATAATTATTGACACTTTACGATCACGGTTGACCACAGTTTGGTCACTCGTAGATAAGGATACGTCAAGTTTTCAAGATCGTTGT